TTTATCATTGTTATAGTAGGGTTTTCACAGGATAAATATATTTTGTTTCAGTATCACCTCAACAATACCATTTCTGTCTTGAAAGTGCTGCTTATCGTTAGAAATACCTTTAAATGATTTTACTTTTTACAAGCTGGAAAGCTTTGCTCCAACAGGCCATATGCCTCAGAAGTAAGCAGACCAAAATTACTTGTACAAAATCTAAATAAGGAAATAAATGCATGAAATTGGAATTACTTGCTGCCTCATTTACTTCTTCAAAATGATGTGGAAAGACTCTAATATTTTGATTTTAGAAATGAAGCCCAAATTCACTTGGAGCAAAGTTGTATAGTAGACATTAGAAACAATAATAAATTATTGCTCCAGATGGAAGGAACTAGTATAGTTTAGTGTCTTAAAGTGTCCGCTTTCAAAATGTCATTCTAACTGGCACCAACTAGAATCTTCTTCAGTAATCTCTGTACAGAGATCAAGTAGGTAAAGTAAGGACAGGAAATTCCTTCTTCCCACTCTTCCCTCCTGGTTGGTGTTCCCATTAATTACACTAATAGGCAATCTTTTCTTACTGTTATATGATTGTCGGGGAGACAGGCTATGACTTATTTGGTGAAGAATTGCTCTTTTGGTTCTGGGGGATCTGTGCTGTCATTCCTATGGTGTATAAGTTGTTAATTGCAGTGGTCCAGGACTACGTGAGATCTATAATAAAACTGCTTATTCCTGGTTTAGAGATTTACTGTAATTGTAGCAATGGCTGTTTAGTTTCTGTGGTGATAGCAGAGTAGTCAGGGGAACACAAGGCCTCTATGGAATGACCCAAGTTATCAGGGTTCCTTCAAGACTGATATAAATCTTGGAGGATTCTTACGTATTTTGTGGTGTGGTCTGCTCTGGAATGGAAAAGATAGGTGGAAGAATAGGTATGTACACCTACATGCAAGTATGTAATGACAACCTAATCCAAAGGATACTTAATTATTTAACTGAGCTTTAGATTAGGACTGTGTCAATGCCTATCAAATGTGATTCAAGACAACTTATAGCTCTTTGCTTTTTTTTTGAAATTACACATGGAAAGTTGTATACAACTTTCCAGCAAGTGTAAGCAAATTGTTAGATATTAGTTTTGCTTTTAATTCATCTGTTTAGAGCAAATGATTAATATAATTTTAGATGTGTGCAAAAATGGTGTTTCTTGCATCACAAAGTATCTCATGCCAAGGCATTTTATTATAGAGGGCAGTTTTTTAAAGTGGCACAGCTTGGCCACACATGGCTTAAGACTTAGAGCACCTGGTTCTCATTTTATCTTTTTTAGATACTTACTTATATTCTTAATTACAACAGCATTACTGAAATATTTACCAACTACTTAATATGTAACTAATTTAATTAGCACATAACTAGCCATCAGCCTCATAGAAAAGAGTTGGGCTTAAATGTCCAGTCTGTAGTTCATTCAAATGCAATGTTTTTCTGATACATTAGTGGCCTCGAATCACCAATGCCCAGGGCTGGACCGGGGCAGGTCCAGCTGGCCTTACCTGCAAGCTAGAACCGAGGCGTCTCTGAACAGTATTTAGCATCGGGGGAAGCGGAGACAACCCCCTCGCTGGCGCGGGGTGCTCGTGCCGCACAGCCGGCCGGGCGGTGGCTGTTCCCCCCCGGGCCTCCCCGGTTCCCCCGAGGGCAGAGGCTGCGCCGCCCCGCGGCCCCGGCGCGTTCGCTCGCCGCCTCCACACGAAACGGCGCGCGCTCCGCCTCAGCGACAGGGCGGGCCTCGCGTGCCCCATTTCGCCCTGTGATTGGTTGAACCGCGCCTGCAGGGGCCCCTTGGGTAGTTGCCATTGGCCAACTTCCCTGAGGTAACTCGCCCTCCGGTTGGCGGTGCGAGCGCTCGCGCCTGTGGATTGGCCGGCGGCGGG